GGAATGAATGGCCAAAGAAAGAAACGAAGGAATGCAAAAGAATAGAAATACAATTTGAAAGTATAAATGTAAAGAAAAAGAAAGAGGAGGAATTAATAAAAAAAGATCCAAAATTAAAAAGAGAAGAGAAATAATAAAGCACAAGAAAGGAAAAAAAAAGAATGGGCAATTAACGAAAAGTCAAAAGAATGAAAAACAAAAAAGGAAGAAATGAATAAAAGCTGTGAATAAATATACAAAGAGATGCACAAACGAAAGAAAAATTCGATATCCTTTTTTCCCGCCACTTGTGTCTTTCGCGCCAAATTCCAATGAAACATGGACCAATCATTTTTTTTTCTTTTTGTGCGAGACTCCTTTCAGTTCAAACCATTGCAGTCTTGATTATGTATAACCACTATCCCCAACCCCACCCATTACCAAATTCTTTTATCTAAATCTTTTCGGCAGATTTTTCTTTAGCTTTTTTTAATTTTGTCTTTTAAAGATTTTTTATTTGCTTGTTTCTTTTCCTACTACAAATCTATAAAAATCATTGGCGATGACGGCCACCTCAAAATCTCATTTCGCTGTCATTTATAGATTCTAACTTTTCAGAGAAAAGACACATGTCTGCATCTGATCAACAGTTTATGCGTCGACAAATACATAAAAAGTATAAATTATTGTAAACTCAAGAGTCATTCACAGTCAGTGGCGCTTAATAGTTAACGAGCCAATCTGCGTAGTGAGTTTGATCGTTACTAGGTATCCTACACTTGGAGCCTTCTACCAAACAAAAAAGTAAATATTTATGGCGTTTCAGGTTGGAATAATGGTTAACGAGCTATTCTGGTCGATTTTTACTACTGAGTAACAAGTCGAGTATTCCATATTTTGTGGTCTCGTACCAAACTAGCCTCGCATGTTTGGCTGACCAAATCTATCGAGTAGTGAGTTCGATTCTCACTAGCTTCCCCAGGCTTGTTGGCTTCTACCAAACTAAGAAACTTAATAAAAACCACACCCAGCCACATTCTCCAATCCTACTTTCTTTGTACCTGTCTTGCTGTCTATTGATTGATTGATTTTTTATGGCTTATCAACCCTTTGTGGATTATTTAAAGCTTGAACGTTTTTGGATTTTAAGAATAATTCTCATTTGCGAGTGAATATTGTATAAACGATTTTTTTAGAATTCCAGATACAAGTCCTACAATTTAACCTGCATGTTAATAGATGGATTAATGCCTTTCCCAGCGGTATTTTCATGTAAGTGAATGGAACGAACCCGACTGGAATTCGAACTCGGGTCTCCAATTTCTCGTTCTGAGCGGCTTCTATTGCACCACCCACACATTCTCGCATTTCGTTTAGGCTTTTGTTTAGTCTTTTCTACACACATCCACGTACACAGACACAAAGATACAAAGAGACTGGCATAGAAAGATAGATAAAATCGTGTTTAAAATTCAAGTTATAAGAAGTGTGGCACCATTTACGAGGCAGAGAAAGGAAAAGAAAGAAAAGAAGGCAGAAAGAAATGCGAGACGAATCATAGGTGATAAGCAGACACACACACGGCTAAGAGACAATGAAAATATTGATAAGTAACAAATGAAAAAGGGTGTCATTACAATGACAGGGAATTTCTGAGTAAAAAAGAAAAGGAAAAGAAAGAAGGAACCAGATGTGTTTTGATAACGGCTGTGTTATCTAGACCACTGGCCAGGGAAAAATTCAAGTGAAAATGCCATTTCGATAAGTGACGAGAAACAGGCCACTAAAAAGGACTTTGGACAGATATGAAAAATTAAATCCCACACAAGCAGTGCGCTGACCGAATTCTTTTCGACGAAACAACTTGGCCTGCGATAATAAAATTATGTTATCAGGAGTATGTACCGAAGGAAAATGAATGGTGAACCAGAAGTGTTTTTCTTTCTTCCTTGGAGGCGACAGACTGACTGAAAACTTTGGGGATATTTCTTTTTTGAAGCCATGTTAAGAATGCCACCCATCTTGATAAATTAGCGATAAAATACCTGACAAACACCACGTGTAAAACAAGAGTTGTCATATTGTCCGTGGCTAGAGAAATGATAACGGCGATTTAAGCAGAAGAAAAGGGAAAGAGAAGAGATGGTTTGTTTTTTTTTTTTTAGTTAAGCAAGATATTTTTTTTCCCGAAACAAAGCCACGGATTGTTCACGCCCGACTAAGACATCATTGGTCAAGTGGTGATCACGTGACGCACGAAGGAGGAGGAAAGATACCCGACCAAGACCTCATTGGCCGTGAGTGATCACGTGACGCACGAAGAAGGCTGTCGACGCCCCATCCCGAGTATAAGTATGAGAAGCTGCTACGAAGAAGTGGGGAGGGAAGTTCACGCCCCTCAGAGGTATGGTGAGAAAGTGGGAGTGAGGAAGGGTTCCCAAAAATGGAAAAGAGTGGAAAATCCCTAACCAAAAATAAAAGAGGTGGATATGTATTTAGAATTATCGAGGAACGCCCCGACGCCAACAGACCCAACCCGGTTTTGGTCGGCGCCAATAAAAGCGAGGCCCCAACAGGCAGAAATCAGAGTTCGGGCTCGAGTTTCCAGAGTTGAGTTCCCAGAGTCAGTCTCCAGTTGAAACCGCCTCGGAGATAGCTGACCAAGATTCACGCAAAACTCCTCTTCAACCCAAAAACAATTATTTTGAAGAGCGACTTAGAACCAGACCAACGAAATAAGTTTTTTTCGACTTTCGTCCAAAGACACACCGAAACACCAATTTCTTAGAGAGCGGACAACTTGAAGCGTTAAAACTTGCCTAGCGGAAACGACGTGTCACAATCCACAGAACGGGTCGGGAGATGGATGCAGTCCTATGTATCGAACAACTACACATAAAGTTTGTTACTTTTTTCTTTGATACTTTGAACTTTTTGAGTTTTCATTTTATTTTCTTTTATGCATATTTGTGTAGTATCACCCCCGTTGAACTCAATTTGCATTACGGCCCCAACCACTGTTTGATCTCGTCTGTCTAAGATCAATTCACAACGTGGGTAGGCAGACGGGAGATCAATGCAGTTACCTTGGTAACCAGGCGTTGGAAGCGAGTTGGGAACGACGAGGCTGATATCAAATCTAACCAGATTCCCACCCGAATCACCAAAAGGTTAGAACGTCACATTTGGGTGCCGCGACCGATACCAAGCCAGTTGGTCGTCACAGGACGAGACAACACGACTGACGCGACAGGCGGACGTCACGTTTGGAGCAGCGACACCCGGACAGAGCAGCGAGGAGCGAACAGCTGGCGCCGCGGCGAGGACGTCACAATTGGTGCTGTTTGGGGACGTCACAACTGGCGCCGTGGTAGATCAGGATAGAACGTCACAGTTGGCGCTGCGACCGGGGGACGACGTCACAGAAGAAATCTTATCTAGAAGTCGATTTATACAAGGATAAACATTCCGCTAGTTTGAAAATATATGTTCCCTCGGTGAAAAAGTCACACACACACAGAGTATATATATATATATATATATATATATATATATATATATATATATAGGGGTGCGATGGGCATCCCTTCCAACGGAGCATGCATTGGTTTTTCTAAGACGAGAAAACTTTCTGCCAGACTCAACGAAGAGGTTTACATCGAGTGCTTTGAGGAGATAGTACTGCTCTGGGTCAAGACTGTATCTGCTGGAAGACCTTATATCTAGCAACAGGATTCTGCACCATGCCGCACAAACGGAAGAACCCAGTCAATTTCTGCGATCACATCATCCCTTACATCTGGCCACCTAACACCTCAGACTGCAACACCCTTGCTTATTATGTGTGGGTTGCAGTTGAGCGAGAGACCAACAAAACCCCTTGTAATTACAAAGATGAACCGAAGGAAAGGATTATCGCAGCATTCACCAACCTAAATGAGAAGACCGTCCAGAAGAGTTGCAGGAGATTCCGAAGTCGTCTGGCGATCTGATAATATATATATATATATATTCACTAGTCACTTTATTAGGTACAAATGTGCAAATGCTTTTGTTTGCAAATTTATAATCACCCAATGACATGGCAGCAATTTAAACATGGTCAAGGCGATACGCTAAATTTCATTTCATGCATTCGTATGAGGAAGAAAAGTATTTATGTGACATTGGATGTGGAATGTTAGTTGGTGCCAGATGAGCTCTCTGACTATTTCATGTTGCATGATTTTCCGGCAAAATAATATCTAGGTTTTTACAAAGAATGACCAAATAAAATAAAAAACAATAGGCAGAAATATCTTTTTGATAAAAGTGGTTAGAAGAGAATGGCCAATCTGGTTCAAGATTATAGAAAGACAGCAGTAGCCCAAAGAACCACTCTTTATAACTGGGTCCCAGAGAAGAGCGTCTCTAGACACTTAATACGTCGGACCCTGAAGCAGATGAGCTACAGCAGCAGAAGACCACACTGAGTGACACTAATGTCAGATAAGGACAAGAAACTGAGGCTACAATTCGATAATGATCTCAAAAACTGAATAACAGTAGTTTGAAAAACGTCCCTGGTCTAATGAGTCTCGTTTTCTGCTGTAACATTTGAACAGTAGGGCCAGGTAGAAATAACATGAAAATACGGGTACATCCTGCTTTGTATCATCGTTTTAAGTTGATAGTGGCGATGTAAATGTATGGGAGATGTTTTCCTGACATACAGTGGTACCCTTAGTACCAATAAAATATCGCTTAAATAACGCTGCCTACCTAGAGATTGTGACTGATAACCTTGCCTGACTACGTTCATCCTCTGGTGGTCACTTTCAGCAAGAAAACGCATCGTGTCACAAATAATCGATTCATGAAACACAGCAATGAGTTTTGTATGACCTAAAGAGTCATCGGATTAGAGCACCCTTTGGGATGTGGTAGAAACGAGGATTCAAATTCTTGAACCCAGAAGAATTGCATGATGGCATAATAACAGCATGGGTACAAATTTTGAAAGAGTGCTTCCAGAACATCATCGGCCATATCAAGTTAAAATACCGATTCTCGTACGATTACCGAAGTTAAGCAACGTTGAGCCTAATCAGTACCTACAAGTGTGGCCGCTTGGAAATACCAGGTGTTGTAAACTTGGATGTGCGAATGGTGTAATGAATAACGGCTCGGAATTGGAATTTTTTAACTAGCGTTATTGAATACTTTAAGGAAAAAGGGACGAGAGGATGAATTCTCGTGTACTCTCTTTAGGAATTTTTATTATAACTGCTATTTTATATCTAAGTGGGCATTCACTCTTAAAATTGAGGTGGCCAGAGTTTCTGCTAATGGGTTTTTTATATGATGAGGTGGTGAATGTGTTATTACAGAATTCTACGAGAACGTCTAAGAATGGCAGTTTAATTTTTGGGCTCGGTTCATAGGTAAAGTTAAGGACAGAGTTTTTTTCGAATGCGGTTTTGAGATTATCAATTTCTTATGACACTGAGGTCAACGCCCAGAGGCAACAATCTGTTTCATGCTCGAGCGCTATCTTCAGACCCAAAGTTTGCATATCTGTTCCTGATATTGAGCACTTTTACCCAAAAATTAGCATAACTTAAAAATATATTTTTATCATACCATACTTTTATCATATATATATCAAGGCCGGGGCGTGCTATCCACACCTGACCGGGGGACACTAGACTGATTGGGTGCTCCGGGATGTACTTTGTGAACATTGCTACCTTATCAACATATGCTTTTTTCTGCCTACATTTATATACGTTACAAATTATGCTGAGCATAACTTACTATTAAAGTATGAAAAAAATTCACGGATATTGACGTCATTCTGGGTTTGTTTTTCTCGTCCAGATTCGCGAATTTGTTTTGCTCGTGCAAAGTCTCGAAAACAACGCTATATAAAATGAATCATTTTTTTATCGATAATGTTAAATGTGTTAAATCATTCAACTTTTTAACAAGAAAAATCTCAAGGTGACGTTAAAAATTGCCGCAAAACATTGTTGATTTATTTAAGATGGAATGATCTATTATGACATGTCTCTAATTTGTATTTAGACACATTTATTTATTTTCAGTTTTTGTAGTGTAATTTTGTAATTTTTTACCTATATTGAATATGATTCATTATTGTATATAATTAACTTACAATAACATTTGTATTCCTCATAAATACTACCTTATGAAAATTGAGATTTGGTAGAGTAGGGGCCCCGTATCATAGATTCGTATGGCACAAGACCCTTGCAAAGGCCCTATATATATATATATATATATATATATATATATATATATATATATATATATATATTAATCCGACATTTTTTATTACTTTAAATATTATTATAGATGACACTTCCTATTTGAAATAGACACCATGTTTTCCGACACGGATCGAACGTGCGATGGTTTCCCCTGCAAAGAAAGACGGGGGGCTAAAGTTGATCTCTGTCAGAGAACACATACTTTTACTAAAATTTCTCGAATGCGCATGTCAATAATTGTAATACAGACTGTTTAATGAATAAAAATGGGGTGTCTATTGAAGTTAAGTAAAATGTGGTGATAAATACATATTATCTGCACAACATATACGCTTTTAACTCACGCAGTTCCAAAAGCACAAACTTAAAACATTCATACATTTTCACCACAAACCAAAATTTATTCTTACTGACTGATTGATTATTTGCTAAAGCACACACCTGTATATATTTGAAAGACATCACTTCTTAAAGAGTCAAAAACACATTAAACTTCTTGTTCCTAAACTTTTCCTGCGAAGGAGAAAAAATCTCTAGGTCTCCATTGATCGAAGCTAATATTGTAATTAAATAAAACGCTCGCTCTGAGTCCCACTCCCCTCAACCTCATCGCTTCCTTTTAACGTCGATTTTCAGCTACTTTGTTCCACGTGTCACGCCTTCCTACCCACCCTAGCCAAACAAAAAACCGCTTAATGTCGCCCATTCATACCAACCACAAAAAATGTCCGTCAAGTAGTTACATCTTTTTCTCCGGAACAACCAAAGTCTAATTCAATTTTCGACCAGACAAGAATAGCTCCTTCTCTCTTTTACTTTTTTAATTTCATTTTCTATTTCTCTCTTTCACTCGCTCTCTTTCTTATTCTTTCACTCTCTCTCTCTCTCCCTCTTTCCTCTCTCTCTCTCTCTCTCTCTCTCTCTCCTCTCTCTCTCTCTCTCTCTCTCTCTCTCTCATACACTATTTTTCTGTCATGCCATTTTCCTTTTTGACACTCATTTTGCCTCTTCTTCCCTTCATTATTTATTCTCTTTTAACCTTTTTTACCTCACTTCTTTTCACATCTCTTATTTTTTCTTCTTCTCAGTCTTCGTATCTCTATTTATTCTATGTCAATTTCTTGCAAGTTCACCTTTTGATACCTGTTTTTTTTTTACTTATTTACGTTTAAAAAGCACGTAAGTAAAAAATGACGTTTTTTATTATTATTACTATTTCTAGTAGTAGTAGTACTAGTAATAGTAGTATTTATATTAGGATATTTTTTCTTTTCTTTTATCACTCTTTCTATTCTTCTCTTTTTCTCTCCTTTCTCTGCTCTTTTTGCCTATGTTTTCTCTCCTCCTCGATTTCTCTCACCTCCGTACGTCTTCGTTTTGATTTTGTCATATTTAAAATTATAAAATCATAGATAGATAGAGAGATAGATAGATTAGACACGGATAGTTAATATGTATGTCAAAGCAAAATCGTGCAGTTTCCTTTATGCGGACTTGGGTGAGCTATTTGTGTAAATTATATACAAGGAAAGCACAAGCAATTTGCCGAGATACGTATAATTACGTGTATTCAAAGCAAATAAAAGCTAAAACGGTGAATTCATTGAATCAATAATGAAATTAATGATGGAAAAATCGTCAAACTTAAAGTGGGAATAAATACAAAATTGCACAATAAAGAAGAAGAAGACAAGAAAAAGATCTAATGAAAGAGAAAAAGGTAGAGAATTAAAAGGGAAAAACGAGAGAAGGAAGAAAAAGTATAAAAGACAAAGTAGAAAGAAAGAAAGAAAGAAAGAAAGAAAGAAAGAAAAAGAAAGAAATATGACCAGGAAGGGGAGTGAATAGAAAGAGAAGTAGGAAAGGAAAGGGAGGACATGAAAACGAATTGGAAAATGGAATAATAATAAAAAGAAGGAAACAGAGTTTAATTAATTTGTGTGCGCAATGAATAACTGGGAATTAGCTTCTCCCCATCAATTTCATCCATTTTAACTCCTCCTCTGTTCACTCCCCAAACACACACAAGCTACTCAGGCACAAAAAGAAAACGCCAAACATGGAGGAAAAGATTGACAACAAACATATTTAAAACGATTTGAATGGCAAACGGCGGTCAATATTTGGCAGTGAGTTGGTTAGGGGTTGTCGAACGTTAAGAAGGCCTACGCTCTTCAATAAACATACCTCGATTGTACATGGGCACGGTATTCCATTGTTGGTTTAAGGAATTGACGTGAACTGAAGAAGTCGAATAATTGGCGCCAAAAAGAACCTATTTCCCCGTCTTTTTTTCTGTTTTGCTATTTCTTTTCTTTTACGTTTCTTGTTCTTGGTAGAAACGTGCGTGATCGTTATGGAAGCAAGTGTTTCGAAGAGGAAGTGATGTAGTTTGGCGGAAGGGTGAGCCGCGGGTAGATATAAAAAGATTAATAAATAGAATTAAATCGCCTGGAATTAGTTTCCTTGAAAAGTGAGACAAGACGGAATGTTTGGTGTGGAGTGCGATGGTAGATTCGGAAGAGCCTTGTTTGTCGATAGCGTGTTACAAGCAATAGAGAACGGTGAATGATGATCATGTGTGGGATGTGGTGTGCTCTACGTCAGAGTCGGGGCTATAGTTTCTAAAAAGAAACGAATGATGTTCTTTTTTCTTATTTTGTGAAAGTATTAATGGAAAAAGTTAAACGTAGCTTGGATAGGTTGCTAATTGGTGGCTTTTAACGCGTCACGATGATAAAAACATCGAGAAGGAAGGAAATGAAAAAGGGGGTGGTAAGAGGATGGAGGATAGAAAAAAGAGAAACGGTCAAGCAGAGGATTTGAGGGATTGAAAGCAATAATCGACGTGAAATACTGAAAAGAAATAATAATTTTGGATCTTTTTTAGGGTGCTAGACCCGTACTAGACACCTTGAATAGACCCCATAAAAACAAATGATTAAAAATTGTAAATAAATATAAAAAAGTGGGAAAAAAGAAGGAAAAGAAAAAGAATGGAACGTAATTAGAAAATAAGATAAGTTGCAAAAGACGGCTAGTCGATGTTGGAATTGTCGTGTTCGCCAGTTATTTAATTTCGAACTGGGTTAGGCCCTAGTATGCTCTGAAATGGGAAGGAAAGAAAAAGATCAATGAAAGAAAGAGAGAGAGAAAGCATTTGGTTTGTGAATTTGTCAGACTACACGTAATTCTTTCCTTTTTACCCATTGCTCAAAATTCACTACTCATTTTCTGAGTATATATGATGAGAAGATCAAGCCATCATCGTACAGAGATAATTAACATGTGGTCAAATAAATTAAACCAAGACTTCCAACTAATTACTCAATAAGTGTCAATTAACAGACATTTATCACTTGATGCATCAGTATTGTTATCAGTCGATACGAAGGAAGAAAGATCATTTCATTCAGATCGAATGTATATGTAACCGTTTGTGCGTTAAGCCGATCCAGTGGGACCGACAAAGCCTGGCCGGCCCAAAATATGCGTTTGTATCCCAATAATTGACCTTGGATTAGTACATCTTGTCGAACCAAACAGCAAAACATAACTGCTTTCATGAATCGATGATGTGCATGAACATTAGCGATTTATTTTGTGTCGTTTCATCAACAGATGATCATATTTTCATACTAGAACAAGCAGACATAGACTTATGAATAAATAGGAAGCCTTGAAAGTCATTTTTGACTCTAATAATGAGTTTGAAGAGCTTGCAAAAGTACTTCTTGCGATTACTTCGGCAGCGACAGCATTGCTAGTAAGTCAAGAACATGTATTTACAATACATTTTATTGCATTAGTTTTTATAGGAGCCACCAAAAACAGATATTCGTCAACAAAAATGTCTATC